GCAATAACAATATAATTACTATTACTATGTATGTAATTTGATATTAAAAAATATTTTGATATTTGCAACTACACATGTCAGTTAGTTAACTACTAGACATCACAGACGCGCTATTTAGCTTTAATATTATGCTATTACTATTACACTATTAACTCCTTGATACTACACACAATTGTCAAAATCTACGATGACAGCTGCAAATGAAATAAGCGCAGCGAGAGAACCAATCGGCATCGCGGAAAAGCGACAATAAACTTCGATAAATTCGAGTCGATACTCGAACATCGACTTTACATGCCTTTTTTAGATAGGATAGAATAGGAGGAGGAGGAGGAGGAAACATTAGTTGTTTCAACAATTATTAAGTTGCACTAAAAAAAGTACCTAGTGTCAACCATGTCAACCATCAAAATTTTTTAATCAGGAATTAATTCAACTAATGTTTACTTAAGCTAACTGAAATGTTTAGTTGCACGTATCGGACTAAATATTTTTCCGAATTAACAAATTTTTTCTTAGTGTACATAATCAAAATGAATGAATTTTTACACGTCTAAAAAATATTTTTTATTTCAAAGTATTACCTCTTCCGTGAGGATTTCACCGATGTAACAATATATAAATGTAATAATAGCCGCTGTCACGTATGCCATAACATGTGATAATATATTTGCCCTATCGAACTCACTCCAGTTCTGGAAAATAAATTGCTAGCTTTATGTACTGCAGAAAAATAAAGTAATCTGCTTTTGCGGGATCTCAATTATGTTATCTGAGATATGAGAGAAAGTTTTATTTATCTCTAGCGTACCATAACAACGAAATATCCCATTAAGCACATATTCGCCGTACCTGTCATCAATTCTGCTAGACAGGCGTTATGCGTAATACTCTCTATTTGTTGTACAAAACTGAAACATATCGCTGCAGTTACAACATATCAGGCGTGATGGTACGTTTTTTTTTGCAAAATTTATTTTAGAGGATCTACGATTTGTGTTAGTATTCAGAATAGTTTTTTTACAATCTTTGTGTATATTGTGTAATATATATGAAGAACATTTAAATAATAGGAATACGCTCATCTGTGTATGTGTGTGTGTTCTTCTTGAATTTCTTGAAGAGAAAGAAGCAGTGACTGGTACCCTTTGCTAAGAAAATTTTACGGTATAGAGGGATTTCGCTGCCGCGGTGACGCCGGTTCCCGGTCAATGCGTGTTCGAGCATCGCGCGACGGTCCGGGAAAGTTAAGCCTGTGCCCTGAACGCCTCAGATTACTGACGGCGTTAGTATTTACCGGCGAAAGTAAATGATTTTTTTTCGTTTTTTTGCTAATAATATTTCCAATAGTGTTAGTTAATAAATGCATTTCTATCATTAGTAGAGCAATATGTACAAAATGGCAGAGAGAAACGTTAAACATTACGATACTTTTTTATTTTGTATTTATATTTTTTTTTTTACATTTGTAATAATATTTTATGTAATTAACAATTTTTTACAATAAGAATTTATTTTTAAGCAAAAAAAAGTTAAACTTTATTTTTCTCTATATTTACACGAATAAACCTCTATAAAATTTTACCATTTTTATTTGTTAAAATACTTTTTGGAGTCAATTTAAATAAGACTACATTTTTTTGAAAGGTCAGTCTGAAGTGTACAAAACTCTACAATTATTGTTGTAATATTTATTTGTTGCAAAGTTATTAAACAAATTTCCATTTTTCCCATTTGTGTTCTAATTTTGTTTTATAAACAAATAAGTTTAATATTTGGCTTTAAAACTATATTGGATATTGTAGTAAAGATAGGTAACTCAAAATTTTTTTATTTTTTGAAAGGTTAGAACATAAAAATAACATAGGATGGGCTTAAAAGTCCTCATTTGCTGATAGTGTTAATAAAAAAATGATATGCTGACGGAGAGATATGCACGCATATTTATCCTGAAATTTGACGCGAGTTATATGTAGATTATTGTACACAGATTGTTTAAAATAAATTTAAATAGAATATTTGTATGGGAGTTCTTTTTTTGCTTTCTTTCATGTATACTTCATATTTATAATATATGACAGTATTTTAAGTTTAGCGTAAAATATTAGTTCATGAAAAGCAATGTAATGGAAATGGTTATTGATCTTCAATACTCAATAAAGAAAAAAAACTCGCGCAAAGTGCAATCAAAACTTTATATTTAACAAAAAGTAAAATACCTGAGGACTCTCCAATGATGTTTCACGACGGCTCCAAGTTTTTGTTCTGCTAAGTGATTATTTTTCTCCTCGGCGAGCTCGTTTAACCACATATGCAGTACATTCAGTTGACCGCAAGCATGCGCCGCGAAGACGGCAGCGAGACCGCAAACAGTTGCTATAGACCAAAATATTACAAACCCCGACAAGTATTGCACACCCAGCAGGATCTCGTTCGCAGGGCTTAATCTCCAATCAAGTATCTTACTGTACATTGGACATGTCATCGGATGCATCGTAATAGTTTTGTTGCCGATAACAACGGTTTTTGTTTCCATTGTCTTGATCATGACAAAAATGAACGAACCACCAAGTATCGTCCCGCACAAGGCAGTCAAGAAGCGGCCGAACTTGGCATATTGCAGCATCACTTTGCGATTATCGATTCTCCGAATGAGTTTCCAATCCGTTTCCATGTGCCGTATGCAACGTTGAATGTCTTTGTTACGCGTAAGTAATACCCAGTAATGAAAGAATCCCGAAGTTCTGTTAATCAGCGGAATGATGGCTTGTAATTTAGTCTCAACGTCTTTTTTCTCCAACCACATGTACAACATGCATGGTATCAGAATGATTGCCATCGCGGTCGAATAAATGAAGATTTGCATTGACACCGCGAATTTTTTTTTTCTATTTGACGCGCTTATTTGTGGCCAAGCACCTAGCGATATGAGAAACCATCGATTTATTCGTATACCGTAGTCATTGAGGTTTTCGTTATCTGTTATGTGTTTCGGATCGCTCATGATCGTTTTACAAAGACGACCGATATGTTACTGCAATGATCATCTAAAGTTTTGCTTATAGCTGTAGCTTAACTAGAGACACGCATAAGTACGCTTGCGCCAGCTTATAATGTTTTGTGAAGCGACACGTCGATGGCTTTGCCCTAAGAAGAGCGCACGCTCGTATGCAATCAATAATCGTATCCAATCAATAATCATTCTCTGCGCGAAGCCTGCTGTCAGTATGACAACAGACCGCGTTCAGTGAAGTGTGTGAAGACTTTTCTGAAAGTGACCACGAATTCTTGACTTTTCGTTATTTTGTATCACTTGTAATTTATCAGGTAAAACATTTATAATATGATTAGTAACTGTTTCAGAAAAGTTCTAGATCTAATGATGTTTTGTGGTGTATGTAATAAAGTTCGAAAGTGTTTGACGAAAGAATTGGTTAACTACGGTATTTATGTCGCAGAAGTCAGAAAAAATAGAAAGAATGAAGATATTTGCAGTACCTCTGCCATGTGCCTTTATGCCTTTATTAGTAGTGTGTTATAATTTCAATTCTTTACTGTTAACATTAACGAAACCGCGTCGTGAGTTAAATCGATTTCTCAATGTATAAGTTAGTAGGTAGCGCGATCATATATTATATTACAACTTACGTAAAATGATTATTGTAGGGAATGTGTAAAAGGTTTAATAGTTATTTCATGATACATAAGTGTAGAGAAATAGTAAAGGATGGAATATACAGCAAAATACAAGTGCATATAGCATATATATTCTTTGTTTAGCTTGATAACTTTTATATAACTTCTGTTTGGGATATACGGCATTTTTAGCGTGCAATATGTTATGTCATAGTACAGACAAGTTCTGTAAAAATCTTCTGTTCTTTTTTTTTTATCATATAACAATAATTTTTAATTAATCTACACTGTTGAAAAATTTTTGTAGGTTTGTTAAAAAAAGTGCCTTGTTAAAATTTTTGTGTAAAATAATCAACACATATATGTGTAGATTTAACATATGCCTGCTATGTTAATTGAACTAAATGTAAATTTATTAAAATCATTTAAAGAATATGTTAAAGTAAAACAATTTGAACGTATTTATTAAATGTGTTAAAATTTACAGAAAAAAAGTGTTGATTTTACTCTATAACAGAAGTGGGAATAAAAATTTACAGAAAAAGAGTGCTGATTTTATCTTACAATCTTAACTTCAACATAAAATTTATATTAATTGTACACATAATTAACCTCAAATTACGATCAGAATTACATTTCTTTTTTGTTGAAATATTTTAACATAGTATCAGTGTTACCATTTAACACATCCATATTATGTTAAATTAACACAAAAATTTGAGTGGACCGTTTGGGACATGCAATTTATGTTACATTTAACACAAATTTTCCCACAGTGTATCGTTCGTCTATTTTCTTTTTAAAATTTTTTAGTTTCAT